ATACAGCCTCCAAAAAGCGTCTGTCTGTCTCTCTCTCTCTCTCTCTCTCTCTCTTTCTCTTTATCTCTCTATGAGAGACTTCCCGTCACACAGATTATTATAACTTTCCCTTTACGATCGATACTATAAACGGATTATTAACGTGTACAAACTCGAATCATTGTGTTCGAAATTTGCAAAATCTTTTGGGCTCTCTTTATTTCTCTCAGCATCGAATTGTAACTTGATTCCTCGATACGACGTTACTCGTGCCAACGAACTTTTCTGGTATCACTTCCGTTATCGGTTTTGTTTCAGAATTTTTTTCCAAGTTTGCATGGAAATTTAGACGGTTGATAAAGGAAGTATAGTGAGATACTATTAGTCGAGCATATCACAAGAAGAGGATTTTGCATTAATGAACATGATCTGTTATTCTAACGATGGTAGCACTTTTCTAAATCCTCTTATATATCGCGAAATGGAATGAGGAAGACAAGGGCAGACGGAAAATGAGGAAATAGAGGCAGAGTAGGAAAAACCGGAGTCCTCCTAATAAGAATGCTACTTGCAATAAAGTAGGATTTGCGCTTGATAAGAATCATGAAAAAAACGCCGCGTAAGATCATTTCGAATACATCAGCCCTCAGAATTCTTGATTTTCTCTTTTTATTTCAGAAGTTTTGAATTTCTTTGAAACATTTCTTTCAGTTGTTAAATAAATTTCAAACAAAAAAAAAATATTGTATAGTAATACTTGATTAGCCAGATCAAATCTTATATATATATATATGTATAAAGTTATTTTTTTTTTTTAAATAATTATATTTAAATTAAGTCAAATAAAATGACAATCTCTTTTTTAATTTTATACAAAGGATTTATAATACCTGAAGTCAACTTAAGATATATTTTTATCAAAATCATTGATCGGATAAATGAAATTCGACGGAGGCACGAAACCGTATCAAGAATAAAAAAGCCGTGTGATCTCTTCTGACACGTAATAAACCGTCGGCTCTGAAGGTAAAAAGAATAGGAATAAGAAGAAAAAGAAGAAGAAGAAGAAGAAGAAGAAGAAGAAGAAGAAGAAGAAAAGGTAAAGGAATTATTTCAACACAATGCCCAGGGCTTTGTGGTGAAGATATCACGGATGAACGTTAATCGTGACACAAAATTGGAACGCGAATACAATAGGTGTGACGTTCTTTTTTCTTTCTTTTCTTTTTCTTTCTTTTTTTTTTTTTTTTTTTTTTTTTGTTGAAAAGACGCTGATCCGAACGGACCAGTTTCGGCATCCTACTGAGCTGAGATGGGTCGAATATTCGTTGCTCTTCTACGTTCAAAACCACGATCAATCCTTTTTTCTTTTTTTTTTTTTTTTTTTGTTCAATAAAATCAAGACAAATTTTTTGCTTTCCGCATGACTAATATATTGCATTAAACAAAGTGAAAGAAAAAAAAAAAATACATCATATGTCAGCCAATTGAAAAATTAAATACAAAATTTGACTAAAAGCTAGTGAACCGGAAATGAAACATCATTGACTAAGGAAGATTCTTCCGTTTAACCAAGACGAGATGTCAGTTATAGCAGACGTTTCGGTAGATGGACCGGTTACCCTCTAGACACTCCTTTTCGCTAATAGCATGCACGCGACCATCCGGACCACACGTGCGCAATAATAGGAACGACGTTTGAGTAGAGAACTGGTACACGTGCAAACAGACACACATATACGTGTACCTATGGTTGTACATCGGTCCACCGATCAAGCGTAGTGCGGAGCGTCTGTTGCTAGTCGACTTTCTACCGTTCCATCTGTTCCTTGTTACCCGGGGTTATTAATTAGCCGCTTTTTGGTACTCGGTAAACTTGGGGTTGTCGAACGCGACTCGAGTGACATCGACGAGAGCATTTCAAGCTATCCAGCATATGCGATAAAAATTAAAAACAAGAGAACGGATGTTAGGAAAAAAAAAGGAAGAAAGAAAAAAAGAAAGAAAGAACTCTAAAACGAGGGCACCTTTTGTTGAGCGATATCGAGAAATGCATACGCATCAGTAATATTCGTCGAAGTGCTTTTCTGCATCTCATCTACTTCGAAGCTTTCATCGTTCTGGGATTTGTACAGTACCATGTACACCACGATACGTTATGTCTATGCTGGGTTTCAACATTCTCTCCGAATCTCCTGGTGGCAGCCTCAAGCGGCCCTCACCCGCAGAAATGTAAATACCGCTCGGCCAATCAGCCTGATTGGTCCCATTCGCTCGAATGCTCGTCATTCAGCAGCGTATATATCGTGCCTTACGGGCCGGCTCGGGCGGGCCTCCTGGATCCGCGCATTGTTCAGGGAATTGGTGTATAAGTGCGTGTCTACGAGCACGCACGCAAACCGCGATTCCACCCAGTCTCGATCCATCCAGGATTTCGTCCTGGTAAACGAGAACGTGCATTAGTCATCAAACGCATCCAATACTCTCGTTCCTTTGAGATCAAAATCTTTCAACGATGCTCAAGCTTGAAATTATGATAATTCGTGATCGGACTATCGATAGGTTTAGTGGGTTAAATGTTTTGCTGAAGATCGTAAGACCTATAATTTATCTTGGTTCTGAAATTGAGGTTTACGCTTGGGATGCTGTATTTATAAAGTTTTACTCGTTAGAATCATTCGAATTTAAATATTCCACTGGAACAGATTATTTCAAACGATACGTATTGAGACGTATGTAAGTCGATCGAGAGTACGATCTTTAAAAGAAAGCGAAGCAAGAGAGAGAGAGAGAGAGATAGAGAGAGAGAAGATATTCGAGATTTTTTCCTCGGGGCACAATGAAAAGCAACGGTCCAAAAAAAAAGCCAGAAAAGAGAAAAGAGTGGAAAGGGTCGAGCAATCGGCGATGCGCACTTTGAGCAAAGAGGAATTAAGTGAACCCAAAGCCCAAGGTTGAACGAGCAAAAGCGGTCCGGGGAATAGAGAGTTCGCTGTACGAAGGTAATATCCTTCATTCGTCGAGATAACGTGTTTGAGCGAAGGGATGTTTACAAGGGTGGACCGAAACGTAACGTGGAAGCGAAGGAAAAGAAAGTAACGACTCTACTTGAGAAGATGAACCTCCATAGGTTCCAAGTCCTCTTTCTCATCCTCGTTGTAACATCTTCTTTCTGCCTTTCCTGTGCAAGATAAAGAGGAGAAAGAAAGATATATATATATATATATATATATATATATATATAGAGAGAGAGAGGGAGACAGAGAGAGAAAGAGAAAGAAGTCGAAGACGAATGGAGTTCAGAGAAAACAGCACTTACGTCTCACGTTTCTAATCTGGTCTTATTCTTGTTTACTGGACTTTCGATAAAGGAGCAACGACGAGAAATCTGCACGTTGTTTTCCATCTCGGGAAATCTAACTCGTAATTTATTATACTGGTAAATATAGTATGAGATTTTGGACAAGAAAGAAAAAGGAAGAAAAAAGTTGAGAGAAAGAGAGAGAGAGATATAGCGCGTGGTTAGGATTAGTAACTTCAAGCTCAGGGAAGTCGCATCTTTTCGCTTTCTCGAACAGCTGGCGCTTCTATGAGGACGAAGGACAAAGATGGCGGTCGCTACGGTGTCGCGAGATCCATTTTAACGAGACACCCACTCCTCGAGGGAGTTCATTGAGACGCCGGCTGCTTTGGCAACCGTCTTGCTTCTTCTTCTTCTTCTTCTTCTTCTTCTTCTTCCTCCTCCTCTTCCTCCTCCTCCTCCTCTTCTTCTTCTTCTTCTTTTTATTATTCTTCTCTGTTACTCTTTTGGCTTCTCCGAGTCTTCTTCTTTTTCTTTCTTTTTTCCCCTTCCACGAATTCTCGGCATTATTCAACGGGCGCGCGACTTTCATTGAGGATGCGCGCACGTATTGACTGATTCGGAGTCGTTCGAAATCAACGATAAAAACGTTGCTTCTTGGAAGACAGAGAGTACCTCCTGTAGTGCCACTAAAATTGTTCCTAAGGAGACTCCTTTTTATTGAATCCTTCATCCTTTTATATCGAAGATACGACCCGATGAATTCAAGGACACTATGTCTTTCTTAAGTTCCTTTTTTCTTTTCTATATTTTTTTTTTCTTTTTTCTTTACAATTCATCATAAGAATTCGCTATTAAATTTTATGAAAATTTAACGAATTTATGATATAATTTATTAATTTTAATTTCTCTACGGTGCGGTCAAATGGAAAATCGTGAAAGGTATTGCAATTAAAATCCAATAAGAGCAATCGATGAAAGCTATGTGAATACCCGTATCGGTCTAGTCGCTTGTGAATTTCATGAACGAAAGCGTGACCATTCGACGCTCAGTGAAACTAAATTTAGATTACGAGCGCGTTACTAATTGCACGCATGGCATTATAAAGCTTAATCGCTTTGATTACTTATTGCACGTAATTAAGCGTTTATTGCAGTTACTCTGGGATCGCTCTCGATGATTTACACCGGCGACGATGCTCTATATCAGCCTATCACTCTTTCTCTCTCTCTCTCTTCCTCTCTTCCTCTATTTCTCTTTTTGTCTCTCTTTCCCTCTTTCTATTCGATCTCTCGCTTTCCCCCTTTTCTCTCGTGCGCAATCGAAAGCTCGAAACGGTGCAGCTGCGAATAGAAAATCGATTTGATCATAAACATCGAGTCAATTTTAAACTATTTGCTGGTTGTCTCGTCTCTATTTATATCCAATTCGATCGATCGGCATGATCGAAATTTCATTCGTCTCAATGTAAAAGATGATAGCATTGAATAGACCAGCAAGAAATTCAGGAAAAAAGGAAAAAAGAAAAAAAAAGAAGAGGGAGAAAGAAAAAACCAAAGAGAGAGAGAGAGAGAGAGAGAGAGAGAAATTAAATTAAATAGATACTCTATAATACTCCCCTTTAAACTAACGTATCACGAAACAACTGTGGCGTGCACTGCAAATGCAAAAAAATATCTATCTACCCCAGTAACAAAAAACGGAATTCGTTTGTTGCAGGTAAGCCAGTTTGGAGATCCCTTCCACGTTGAAAGATCAGTCGAGTGGAGGAGCCCGAGGAACGATAAACACGAAGCGCTTTAGAAAAAATAAAAAAGGTAGGAACGTAGGCCGATCTACAAAAGCTTTATATAGGGAGTCAGGAGATAGGATAATCTTTGAAGGATGCACAACACCCCACGTGTGTCCCCCCTTTTTTTCCTCGTTCTTCTTTCTACCACTTCCTTTTCCTCCCCGCTCATCTACCATTTTCAAATATTTTTTACACGCAAAGGCGCACTGCCAACGGCATAGTCGCGCAGCACACATCGTGGCCATTTGACAATGACGAGGAAGGATTCGAGCTTTCGAAAAGTCGGACTCCCAAGCGTATACGTACTCAACGGTGAGAGGGAAGGATCCCTCTTTCCTACGAAATAAACTGTTTTCTTAGGCACTCCGGGGCTCTTGAAAAATTCCTAAATATTTACTCGAGTGGAGGACCCCCAGACGGACGACACTTAAACGGTATTCTCCGAGAATGGTACACGAAGACGGGCTTAAGCTTCCCTGAAGGACGGATTAGAGCCACTCGTGCGCATTTCCTTCTCTTCCTCTCTCTCTCTCTCTCTCTCTCTCTCTCAATTTCTTTCTTTCTTTTCCTCTTTCTATTCTTTTCCTTTTCTCTTTCTTCAATTTCCATACCTTCGAGAGTCTCGCACAGAGTATTTGCATACGGGGTAGATCGGTCGTTCCTTCCAATTCCATGAGCATTTCGATTCTGTACTCGTAAGGCCGATATAAGTCGAACTTTTTCAAAGATATGATACCTATGTCTTGTTGAAATCATTCTCCGTCCTTTTCTTTTCATATCATTTTTTACTCCTGACTCAATCGTAATTTATTCCACGTTTATTCAAAGTCGATGCCGAGGTTGATCGGAACACATCGTCGACACGATCTTTCAGGGAAGGCAAGAGTTTTCCCACCGGCTTAGTCAGCTCTACCATTCACGCTGCTAAAGAGGCCGTGAGACTTCGACCCAATTTATCCTGGTTAGCTTAACTCTTTCTGTACCTCTCTTTCTCTCTCTCTCTCTCTCTCTCTCTCTCTTTATCTATTTATCCCTGTATTTTTCTATCGATACTTCTCTTTTTTATGCTTCACTAGATATTTGATATTTTTCATCATCATAGAAGTATTCGAATTAGTTGTAAATGCGTTTCTAAAGTATTCGTTCTTTACTTCATTATAAAAGCGATACCGAACGTTCATTGATAATTTTTAAATTTCGAAATTTAATCAGATAATGTATAATCCAATTGTATAGTAATTAAAAAGTCATTAATAGGAATTTAATCGCGTTACTTTTCAATAAAAGCTTGGGTTTGAGAAAAAGAATTACGTAAATATATAACTCTCCAACTCTTTCCCTTTCCTTATTTCTTTCTTTCTTTCTTTCTTTCTTTATTTCTTTCTTTTCTCCTTCTTTCTTCGGATCTCTTTCGTTTCTTTCTTTCTTTCTCTCTTTTTTTTTCCTTCTTTTCTTCTTCTTCTTCTTCTTTTTCCTTTCTTTTTTTTTTTCTTTTTCTTTTATTTTTTTTTTTTCAACGACGTTGTAAGCGTCGCAATGCAAAAGCATTCCCTTGTACGAAGTTGCAACGCTTTGCCCATCGGTTTTTCTCCGAAGGTAACGCCTTTCGTCTGAGAGCTTCGAAAAGTTTCGTCGAACTGTCGGGGCTCCGTTAAACACGAATAAACGATTTCTAAGGACAGAAGAAAGAGAGAGATTGTTGAAGAAAAAACGAAGAAGAAAGAGAAAAGATCTCGCTAAAGATATCGAGTTTCTCCGGTTCTCATTTTTTTTTCTCCCTTCCTCTCTCTCTCTCTCTCTTTTTCTCCCTGTCTGTCTTTTTCTTTCATTTCCTTTTTGAGATATCAACGCACCTTGCTCATTACTCGGCAATAATTAATCGGCCAGGAGCAAGAATCGAACGAGTTCTTCGAGTCTTCCTATCTCCGCTTTGTCATCGCACCGGATAATAATTCTTCGGCGATCGGTGTTGCGAACGAGCAACTCGTTCCATTGGGTTCGCTTCGATCGATTGGTTTCTCCTGGTGGAACACCGAATAACGGATTAATCCCTTAGGCCGTTTCGCTTCTCCGGATTGTTTGATTTTCGTCTACGGGGGATTCGTCGGGCCCATGCAGTTTACCTTCGACGTCGGTCTCACGACTTCAATTGGCATTCAACTATAAGGGTTGATCTTTGTTTTCCTGGAGAAAACATTTCAACCATAATGTGTAGATATTTAGTAATGATACTCATAGAAAAAGAGAAAGATAGATAGATAGATAGAGAGAGAGAGAGAGAGAGAGAGAGATTTTGTTCGATAAGACAGATGATGTATTTGAATGCTAATCATTTTCACTTTTTTTTTTCTTTTTTCTTTCTCTTTTTTTTTTTTTTTTTTTTTTTTAAGACTTTAGTTCTATAAGACTTTTGTTCGTAAAGATATAACTTCAGGAAGAAGAATGGTCGGAATAATCTATATTTTCTTCTCATCTCACGTTTTCCTCTTTGTATCTACGGAACACCTCTCGAGTATTCCAAGAAGAGTCTAAGATTCTCGCGTAGAGTCTAAAAAGCAGGAGAATGTACTTTCTAGGATGCAAACTTCAACCCTATCTCTTTTATTCTGCACAATAAAGCGTGGCGGGAAAAAAACAGACACAAAATACAGACGAGAATAAAGAAAGAAAAAGAGATAGATAGAGAGGAGAGAGAGAGAAAAGAGAGAGAGAGAGAGAGAGAGAGAGAGAGAGAGAGAGAAGCAGACAGACCAATCCAAGAAAAGTGCAAAGCAAGGAGGTAAGGACGTCTATAGAGAAAGAAGGCAAGAAAGAGAAAAAGAGTATGTGAAGTTGCTATAAGTGTCTGCGGACGTGCATTTCAGCCCTATTCGAAACATAAACTGGGCCGACAGACGTATCGGTATGAAAATTTCAATCGGCCGAGTCAAAGTGTCGGGTTGGAGAAGAAGTAAAAGGGGGAATGATGGGGTCGGACGTGGTCGAAAGCGTTGGAAGCTAGAGGCGCAGGTGGAGTTTGTCGGGTAAAAGAGCCGAAAGGTAGTAGGGAGAGTGGTAAGGGTAAAGTGGCTCTGGACCGAGTAAGTATAGCCTCCACTTTTCTATCTTTCTCTTTCTCTCTCTCTCTCTCTCTCTCTCTCTTTCTCTCTCTTTTTCCCTCTCCCTTTGTACCAACCTTTTGCTTTCTGTCCCTCTCTCTTCCTCTATCTCTTCTATCTCGTTCTCAACGTTTCTCTCTTTCTAACAACCCCTACCATCACAGCATGGCCTCATACCTGCCCCCACCCATCCCTCAGTCTATCCTCGTGCGAGGCCCTAGCCCGCGGCGAACTGCATAATTCATGGCCCTACTACACCGACCGCCTCCCTAGCCGACCCTCTTCTAGAGGGACACCAACACCCAACCCTCGTTACCTCTCCACCACTACCACCACCTTTCTTCTCTTCTTTCTCCTTCTCCAGGGTCAGCCTTGGAGTCGCGTGCATTGTACGTAGACGTTCTTATAACCCGCATCTGTAAACTGGCATGTGTTGGTAAGAGAGGGGAAAAGGGAAGGACAGTATGCTAGAGAACACAGAGACTCTTATGTGATAAAGTTTGGCCCACAGACAAGCTCACATACACACTCGTTGTAGCTAACCTTCTAAAAGCGACGGTGCAAAGGAATGTAGGCGAATATTTGGGTTGAATTATGGAATGGCTATGCTGCCGTTGAGCCAAAGAAAGAAAGAGAAAGATCGTATGAAAGAGTTTCTAACGATTTAGTCGAGAACGTCTGTTCGATAAATTACCTACAACTCGAAGTACCGACTTTTGTGAAAATTAATACGAAGGAGACTTTGATCTAATGCTCTGCGCCATACGGTGTATGTGAATCTAAAAAGAGGGATGGTAGAAAGGGAGTTACTATCCTCCGGCTGGATCATGGACTACTGCATTTTCATTTTTTCGTCCTGACGGTGGACAAGCCGTACCGGTTTTGCGCGAGGAATAAATAGAAAAGACACGCTCTGCCATCTTGACCATCCCATCGCTCGTGCTTGAAGATAAACATCAGTGCCAGCAGCGGTACTACACCATAGTATCCGCACCTATGCCATACGGTAGTCAAAGGGACCACTCGTAATTAGACTTTGCGGTTTTATTTTACGTCTCTTTGAATTCTTGAAAAATTACGAATACTAGTAAATTTTATTTCCATTTATCAACATCGATATATTTCTTTTTTCTGTGTTTTTTTTTTCTTTTTGTTTCTTTTTTTCTTTTTTTTCTTTTCCCTCACCCCCCACTCCCCCCTCCCCCTTTGAAAATCTTCAAGTAAATTCACTTGAACATACATCCAAAGTCTTTTATGCGTTTTTACTATGTAAGTAAAAGCCTTTTGGTAAAAGGTTTTGTAATCTCCAATGTTGGTTGGTAGTTGCGATGGTGGTAAAACGGTAGAGCAAACGGTAAGACTTGCTCGAGCGAATGAAAGATGGAGGTATACGTTTCGTACGGAGCGTGCTACGAAGCTCGAACAAACGGGACTCTAAATCCACGTAATTTCTTCCTCACTCTTGAAGCATATCGCGTGAACGTTTTACGCTAGACGTAACGTCGCCGCCGTTTCAAGAGGTAGCATTAGGAAAAATTCTTTCTCTGTTCCGAGTACTCGATCTTGGATATTTCTGAAAGTGTCGTGTTTTCGTTGAAATGAATGGAACGCATAAGTAATGGCAATGTGACGTAGCAATTTCAACGATCGTAAAAATCTCATTTTAATGTTCACGATCGTGATAGTATTCGGTAAAATTTCATCAAAGCAAAATTGTCGACTGGTTTCTTCGATCTTGATAAAATGATAGAGAGAAGAGTCGTAATTCAGTCGTAGTATCGTTAAGTTAACAGGAACGATATTCGCAGAAGCAAAGGATCGATCGTCTACGAGCTGATTCAACCGGTTCCAAGTGGAACGCACGTCTCCAACAGAGGCGACTAGTCTACTCGAGTAGACCTCTAGGTTGGATGAACCCTAGGACCTTAATTACCGTGTCGGCTAATCGATCTCCTTCGCATTGTGATCGCGCCATCGTCGACACTGGTACCGACGCGAGTAACCACCATTGCGAAACGATATCTCAATCGACCGTCTCAGAATATTATAGAAAATTTTCTACAAATTTCAATAAAATCTATATCTAGAATTTTGAAAAAAAAAAAAATCATGTCGCACAAATATTCGTTAAAAAGTTCAAATTTACTATTGTCACTTAACGATATGTGATTTAACGATCGTGAAAGATTTTCTCGACTGACTATCGGTCGTTTCTCGTAAATCTTCGCTTTCGACGAATTCGCGATCCAAAAAAAAAAAGATCACATCGTCTGGAACATGTTTTTCATGACATGTTAAGTAACAGAAACATATAGAGAGTGGTTTCCTAAACTTAATGGATAAGCATCGGAATGAACGTGGCCAACGAAACTGAAGTTAATTGGTCAAAAAGTGAGACCTCTTCCATTCCCCGTTGAAGGTACCTCCCTTGACTAACCCTCCTACTTCGTGACTTTTTTCTTAGTCCGCGCCAAGACGGCACCACCAAGAATAAAATACAGTTTGGCCTTTCCTTCTTAAGTTCTCCATCTTTCTTCTCCTTCTCCTCCTTCTCCTTCTCCTTCTTCTTCTTCTTCTTCCATTCGAATACATATAAGCTCGTAGAAGAATTCAGGCTCTACTGCAACCCGCAGTTCTTCGACTCTTTCTCTCTCTCTCTCTCTCTCTCTCTCTCTTTCTCTCTTTCTCTTTCTCTCTCTCTCTCTCTCTTTCCTTTTCTCGAACTGGTGATCCTAATCTCGATAATGATGCGTAATGGCTGTTGGCGTGAATGTAGCTCTTTGTCCATAGCTCCTACGCCGCTCGTATATCTGTCCGATACCGAGCGTACCATTTCACCCTGGCAAAAGTACGAGGGCTGCCGAAGGGGCCCCTTACCTCTTTTTTTTTTCTTTTTTTTTTGACCTCAAGAAACTGCTAAACTTTCCCTCTTCCTTTCGGTTATACAGGAAGAAGCATCTTACTCGTTTAATCGTGCTTGGTTCCTACGAGTAATAAAGATTATCGATAGACAATATTATAATTTTTCAATAAAATTTAAACAAGTTTGAACAATAACGATATTAAAAAAAAAAAAAAACAAATAAATAATCTACTTTCTTGATCAGTATATAGAAAATGATCATATAAATAGATTCATGCTATATAAGCTTATATGTTTTTAATCTTTACTTTTCTTCTTTCAGGAGTAGCGGTTATGAAGGTTCGATGACTACGAGTTTTAGTGACATCAATATGGACTCACGTTATCTGAGAACCTGGATCCTACAGATTTTACTTCTTATTTTGTCCTGTTCGCCTGGACGATCTATAGACATATGTAAGTAGTAGAAACGAAAGATTTTACGATTGATTACTATCTATACAAAGGTTTTCCATTTTTAAACAAATTTATAACACCGTATTTATCTTTAAAGTCATAATTTCGAAGCTGCCTTTAACGTTCTCCTTCGATTCGATAAAAACAGGCAAAAGTGGCTCGTTGTAGGGTGATCCTTGTGGGTTGCGTTTAAACCTCAGCTTCGGGCTTTTACACGCTTTCCATTCCATTGACTTCATGGGCAACGAGAACCTTCCTCTCACTGAACCACCCTCGTACGCATTAAGCAAACAACCTGGGAAACTTGTAAAGTATTCGACGTGCATTCAGTCAAGTCGCACGTGAAAAGGGCTTTTTAGATTCTTTCCATCACAAAATCGTGCTGGAAACTTAGATATCGAAGAGTATGGAGATCGATCGAGTTGAAGTTGTTCCATATGCGTAACATTCTTGAAAGAACAATTTGAACGACTCAAAATCTTTCATATGTCGATTATTTACATCCCCGTTGGACTTAAAAAAAAAAAAAAAAAAAAAAAAAATAGTAAAAGAATCGAAATTATTTCATTTGAATATATAGAAATAAATGGAAAGAAATATATTATATTCTTTTTTTTTTTATTATTTATCCTTCGTTGATTACTCATCCAATTTTACAGATAAGAATTAAGTATTATTCATTGGAATAAATACAAAACGAGGCCTATTCGTAAAGATATCCTTCCGTGAAATTTACATCCCTATAAATATTTTCAGTATCAGTTCCACAAATAAAAAAAATGAAAAGGAAAGAAATATAAAGGAAATAAAAGAAAGATCGTACTTCTGAAAGCCTCGTTCAGCGACGAACGAAACGCGTCACGATTATCGTCGCCGGCGGCGTATTTCGGTCGAGGCGAACGCTTAACAGGACAAGAAGAGGGCGGGGGTGGAAGACGAATTAAACGAACTCTCTGTGGCACGCGCGTATGCCGAAATATAAATAGCATCGACGAAACGAATTCAAAGGCTTTGCGAGAAGAACCGAAACACTACGGGACAACCCAAAGAGTGTGATTCTCGCTTTTCACCCTCCATCCTCTGTCCTACCCCCGTTACAACCCACGCCGAGTAAAGTTGTACATTGAACCACGTTAGTAAGTTCGCGGTCGTGTTAAGCAACTCGGTTCAGAAAGAGACAGAGGGAAATCGAGCAAAAGTGAGTACGCCTATGCATATATGAAAGAAAGAGACAGAAAGAGAGAGAGAGAGGGAGGTAGAGAGAGGGAGGGAGAGAGAGGAAGAGGGAGAGAGAGAGAGAGAGAGAGACAGGAGAATGGGAGAGTTTCGGGGAGAAGGGTACGCAGTTAAAGCGCGCATAAATTGCAATGTTAATGTTACTGGCGATACATAAACATGTTGTCCGTCGGTTGGATTGCGGTCTGCAAGCGGCGAACGCGTTCTGCTATGCATGTACATCGTGCAGAAACGTTTCAGAGGGGTTGTTGCTTTCGGGGGGACACGAACTGCTTCCCTCTACCGTGCTTGACTAATATGAATTTATTGCTCATCATTCTCTGTTGTGAATCTTTCAATAGAGTGTTCGATTTCACGATTATTTAGAGTAGATATTTTTGATAATTTATCATTAATATTTCGCGTTAAAAATTATTATTAATGTTATGCGATAGTTAAAAATAATATTACTTCGATATATTCTTTCTTATCAAATCAAAAAAAAAAAAAAAAAAAAAAAAAAGAAAAATATAAGACGGCCATCAGAAATATAGATCTAGAACAAGTTAAACACGAAATACAAATCAAATATTATGATGGCCGACAGTATGGAAAGGTTTAAGCGAAGTTCTAATCGGATCAAACATTAACACGACGATTCAATGGTTCTTATTACTCTTCGTTAATCAATGAAACATGAATTGAAATTCATTAGAGCCCTAGAATGTCATTTATAGATTTACATGTGTGCGAAAACGTACGATAAATATTAAAATAGTTGTGTAGGTTTACATATTCGTAAGAGTATTTGTTCAGCATGGTGGTACAACCAAGTAGATCTCAATCTAGGCGTAGGTTAGATAGGAGGCGCGTAGGTTTAGATTGAGACAGAGCATGTACTTGGGCTAACAATACGCATACACATACATACTTATGTTTGCTTGTGCACGGTACGGTGGATGATTGCACAAACGTGCACAGGAGTTTCCATCGCGTCGACAACACGCAGCCGGACTGACATGACGAGCGCGTGTCCTGGATGGAGAACCGTTACGCGAAAAGCCCTTTCTCTCTCTCTCTCTCTCTCTCTCTCTCTCTCTCTTTCTCTCTCTCGCTCTCTCTCTCTCTCTCTTGCTCTCTCTTTCTCTCTCGCACGTACGCACGCGCACATTATGCTATTGTCATCCCTCGAGTCGTCGTCCTTCCCATTCCAACTCTCCCCAGTCTCCTTCCTCAATTATTCGCAAATCCATTAGATCCGCAACCGTTGGATACGAAATTATCAGCTTGCTCTTTGACGCATTAACATAACAACCTGACGATTATAGCGTTATCGTTCGATCGTTCGCTCTGACATTATAGCAGTTTGATTCGGGTCAACTGGTCGATTTTAACTTTTAGTTAAGTTTCTTGCATTGGGAATATTATCAGTAATCATAATTAAGAAAGTTTCCAACCTAGAGCAAGTAGTTGGATTACTATTTAGAAGACTCCCGAGACTCTTATGTAATTACCTGATAACAGTAGGCCTAATTTAATTGTGAAAGTTGACTATTGCCTTCGTACTAAATTCGAACTTCTATTAACTTCCGTTACTTTTATGAGCACAATTTTAGTGCAAACTAATTTCTCATATATTATAGAACTAAATAAATTTAACAATTTCAATAAAATAAACAAAAGAGATATATATATATATTCAAGAGAATACCCGAGAGGATGATAGAATATCTCGGTATTCTTAATAAGCACGATTTACGTCGCTAGTAGAGCGAGTATTTTCATAAATCCAGGCCACGAAGGCAAACGCAAAACACATGGTACGCTCGGCACAAAGGGGTTGGCGTCTCGCGTCCCCTCGAGAGGTAAGCAACGCATGCAACTCGAGACGGTGATTTCGAGTCTGACGAGGGGCGGGTCGGTTCGCCCAAGGGATCTTGTGGAGAAGGGTGTAAAAGGACCGATGGAAGAAAAGGCTCGGGCAGCAGGACGCCTGAGGAGGGACGGAAGGGTCGCGTAAAAGTAGTACTTCCGTTTTTCCAGCCGTCGCGGCGCCAGAAAGAGAAACGACAAAGAGCATGCGCCTTCGGTTCACCACCTAACGCCACCACTACCTTTCCCTTCCAACAACCTACGGCCGAGGCTGTTTGTTTTTCCTGAAAGAGGCGAAAATGGCTCCCTTGGACCTCGACAATGGGCACGAATAGAGAGAAAGAAAGTGAGGGAAAGGGACACACAGAGAAAGAAAGAGAGAGAGAGAGAGAGAGAGAGAGAGAAAGAGAGGAGGGGTGGGGGAGGTAGAGAGGGAGAGATAGCACTAGAACACGACCACGTTGCCCAAAGGGAAAGCATGAACTTCTTTTGAGGTCATCGCTCTTCCAAACATTTATTCTAATTTCACTGGCCCGCACGAAAGGGGTTCCGTGTTCTCGGTGAAACAGAAAAAGATAGAGACAGAAACGAAGAGATGGAAAATACAGTGCAGCAGGTGGGCACCTGCTAATTTTGTTAAGCGAATAAAGTGTTAGACAGTAACATAATACGACCGAGGAAAAGCCATTTCGTCTACTATTCATATTAGAAAAGGAAAACGTTCGTGTCTCTTCTAACAAAAGATTTTATTCTTCGTTTCCGAAAAAGTATTTTTACCATTTTTTCTCGTTGTTGAATTCGTGTTAATACATCTTAGCCATGTTAATACATGCTAAGAAGTTAAATTCAAGAAACGTTCATCACTTGGATATGGAAAACATTATTTTTAATCTTAATGAATTTTTTGTTGAAATGGTGAAAGCGCATTATCGTAAAGAACAGAGTCGATCGATCGTACACGTTTCGTGCCTGAGGAACTTTCTTCTGTAGTTTAAAAAAGAAAAGGGAAAACATTTGTGGATAGTATTTAAAGCAAGACATGATTTATACGTTAATATCACGGCGTAATAAGGCAGGCCGCTTAATATGTTTTTCGCTAAGATCGAGAGAGTAGGTAATTAATTTACATTCACGCCGTTGAACGAGGAAAACATGTAAAAGGAGGAAGGGTGAAAGAGACGGAGAGCGAAGACCACGGTCTGGACCGCGTACACAGTCATTAATAATAATCACCGGGTTAACAAAGGCAAGGGGCCAAGGCAAAATTATTAAATCCGCCTGAGATAGAAGAAACAGAGAGAAACAGAGAGAAAGAGAGAGAAAGAGAGAGAGAGAGAGAGAGAGAGAGAGAGAAAGAGAAAGGGAAAGAGAACCCAGGACGTTGTGAAAATTTTCCCTCACTTCATTTCCTTCAGCCATTTTACTCTGACGCAAGCAGAAAAAGGGCACCTTCCTTCGTGGCATAGAAAACGCAAGGCCGGCGATCCTGTTGCTTCAAATAATTAGCACCTTCATAAACGTTTTCTTAGTATACCACATTCCTGACTTCGTCATTTCTGAATTTGTTCAAACGAAAGGGATATTTTGTACCGAGATATTTTGTTCAAAATATATCAGTAAAATTATTTCATTTCTTTTTGAACATTGAATATTGAACAATTTAATAATAGATTTAACAATTAGCAATGATTGATTTAGCAATTAAATTTGAATGAAATATTGTCTCGAAAATATTGTCTAGATATATTTTGTTACTTTACGATTAAAGTATTTTTGCGAACTGAAATTGATCAATTTTTTGTAGAACGACAAAAACGAAAAAAAAAGAAAAAAGAAAAAAGAAAAATGAAAAAAAAAAAAAAGAAATAGGGAGTAAAGAGTGGGTGCTCTTGTCTCATAGAAAATGCCTTCTTCGAGAACATACGAAGATTCGAAAAGCCTTCTTCAGAGGGAAGCGCTTATCAGTTTGACAGCGGAAGAGAAAAGATGAAGAAGAAAAAGAGAAGTAGAGAAGAAGAGAAGAAGAGAAAGAGGAAGAAGAAGAAGAAGAAGAAGAAGAAGAATCTCGCGAAGAGGGTTGCAAGGGCATTCAATTTCCCTCTTCTCGCGGATGGATGAGGGCGGTGCCCACCCTTCCGTTCGGAGCTGTCACTTCTCGAGAGTTATGGTGACCGAACGAGTGGCTGAGGCGGGCCAAACGTCGCATAACTTACTTCTTCTTTTTCTTTTCCTTCTAGTACTTTCTCTCTCTCTCTCTCTCTCTCTCTCTCTCTCCCTCTCCCCTTCCCCCTTTGCCTTCTCTCCTCCTTACCTCTTTTCCAGGATGTCTATAAATACAGGAATCGAACCTGCCTTTCATAAAGAGACACAAGTTCGTTTGTTATCCCTAAGCAAAATCCCATTTTTATACGAAGGTTTAAGAAAATTGTCTACGAAGTAGTATTTCCCTAAGAATTTTCAATCACATAAAATACATTCTGAATAATTTTAATCACGTTAAACTAAGCAATTTCGTAATGTCTCTGTCGTATTAGGATACTTCAGAAATTGTACTGTTACCGATTACTTTTCAAAGGAGACCAAAATTTTTATTTCTCTTTCATCATCCTTGTCAAGACTTTTAATACTGAATTTATTTTTTCAGCGTCGTTTAAAGTAAAACGTAAATAGAGTCTTCTCTGTAAAGTAAACGTTGGAAAATAGAGAGAAAGAGAGAGAGAGAGAGAGAGAGAGAACTAATTCAAAGGGTTTTATTAAATAATGATACTTCCTTTTGCAAAACGTGAAATGTTATAAGTGGCAATGAAATTTTATCTCTTCGCATTCCAAGTTTTGGACGAGTCTTTTAGAGAAAGATGAAAAAAAAAGACAATTTACAAGCTCACTTATTTACGTGGTCTCGGCAGCCTTCCGTGACGGGACAGAAAACTCAGTAGGAGAAAGTGTACGGCAGAGGGGTAGGTGGGAGGAGGGGGTAGAGAAGAAAGTTTGTGGATTTAAGGTCGTTGCACGAGTAAACGAGCTCGATAATCGTTGACGTGCCTGGCGATGATTCAGGAAACAGCTGTCGTTACAGCCCAGTCGGAGTTGGATTTCCTACTTGAATTTATTGAGTTTACGAGAGCGAATTGAGCCGACGCCACCAATATTATCCGTTTTTCTTGAGAACTTTCTCGCGCTGTAATCTCGACGTGCGGAGCAATCAACATCTCTTTGATGTACTGAAAATTTGGGTCTAGGATAAATGGCGATTTAAAACTACCGTTAACGAATCAAACTTCTCTGATCCTTCTCGAACGATACCATCTATAGAAATGGTAACTATTTTTAGAATGGGATCGATCATAGGTATCGCGTGTTATAAAAGTCTTTCAGAAAATCATATTGATCAAAGGAGGAGTATCGTAGAAGCGTACGTAACCGAATCTCCCTTTTTTTTTTCGTTTTCAGCACAATGCATCGCACCCTTAGGAATGGAGTCCAGGGCGATCCCAGATGCCGACATTACAGCCAGCTCGAGTTTTGATAGCGGAAACGTTGGACCCCATCATGGCCGGTGAGTAGAGTAGTACATTCTTTTTTCCCTCTTCGATACTTTCTTATAGAACGCTCACGTTGCTCGGAGCAATACAATAAGATATAAAAAAAGAATGTCGTACTATCGATCGCCCGTCAAGATGTACTTCTCTTCCTTACTTGGTCCGTGGTTAGCCGTGGTATAGATATATGAGAAACGATGTCGCTTCATCGATGACATGTTCGTCATACTCCTTCTAACGTAGTCGAAATAGGTAAGGATCTATCTTGAGAGTCGGTTATCATATCAATCACATACTAGTAAACTGCACGTCTACTGTGGCCGTCAGCTAGCAATGAGGATTAATGACGCCTGGGATACTGAGCCCCGCATGCTGAATCATTTGTATCGGCCAGCTTCAAAGCCCTTTAGACGCCCTAAATGCATATACCCTCTTCATACCTAGTCCTTTGATTATACGTGCGAGTTAATTACCATTGAAAGGAGAAAGAAAAAAAAAAAGAAAAAAGGAAAGAACGCAACGGAGTCCGTTATGTGATACAAAGGATCGTTTGGACCACCTACGGTGCGATGTGTTTTCTCTCTCAATGGCTCGTACTATTATTTACATCGACCATTTGTTTGACCATTTTTTATTACTGGATTTTAATTTATTACATGAATTAATCGTGGACTATGTCACTCGTTTGTTTTTTCTCTCTTTTTTTTTTTTCTTATGATTTTTCAAAAGACTATATATTATATTCGTATTTTGTTGTAAATATATTATTAGATAAATGGAATTTCATCTTTTCTTAAGTTCATTTTATTACGCACATATTTGCATGAATATCTTTTTTTTTTCTTTCTTTTTTTTTTTTTTTTTTTTTTTTTTTTTTTTTTTTTTTTTTTTGTAAACGAGTAACGCTTTTTATCCGATCGTTAGAAAGCTCGTCGATTTTTATTCGAAAAGCTCGAAAGCGCATTAGTAGGTTATGCGGTAGCGCTAGAAAAAGAAGGACAAGACGTTTTTTGTGGCACTCGTATTGGCGACACGAAGAAAGCCCCGTGAATGCAATACCGATATCGTTCGCTCCTACGCAGTCTTTTCCTAGTAGACCCGTCTAGACCTCCTTCAACGAGCCCTTATAAGGCTTCTACGATGCTACGGGCTTCCCGGTGAATACCCTATTTACCTCTACGCCTTCCATTTACCTTAAAATACCCATATTTAAACTTTGTTTGTACACACTTTAATGCTATCTCTTGATCACCACACCGTTTTACCAATACCTCGTTCCTCCATTTCTCCCATCATTTTTACCCTAAACGAGTCCATAAAGGTAATGATTTTCATGATAAGGAAAGATGTCTTCATTAAAGTTACATGATGCTACGAGAGCAACCTTAACTCGTTAACGAGCAATAGTTATTGCATAACGACCGGATTATTCATGTGTTGATCATGTTGTTTTAGTTAAATCGAAATAATTCATGAATGAGATGATACGTCATAATACGATATTCTAAAAAATATATAGAAATTAAAATTTTACGATCTAACTTTTTCGTTTATTCAAATAAACGAAATCAGAAGGATTCGATGTTATATATTATATAAATCCTTTCAGCTAGAAACGTACCTTCTGTTTTCGAAAGTTCTCTCTTTCTCTCTCTCTCTCTCTCTCTCTCTCTCTCTCTCTCTCATACCTTGTCTTTCTCTTCTCCTTCGTCAGACGGATTCGAAGTTTTCGCGACTGGTGGAGAAACACGTTGGATTTCGACGTCCATTATATATCCTAGCGTATGCTCGACTTCTGGCACGTTCGTGCTTTCGACAAACAGTTTCTCCCGATAATCGAGTAACTCACTCCACTCTTCTCTCCCTCTCTCTCTCTCTCTCTCTTTATTTCTCTTTCTCTCTCTCTCTCTCTCTCTCTGTCTCTCTCTCTAGTTCTCTCAAAAGCTTCTCGCACCGAATTCGCCAACGTGGCAGCTCCAGGCAGAGTCTACTCGCAACGTAATCGTCCGTTCTGAGATTTATCGTGGAGCGGGTGCCGCGTACGCGGAATGTCTTTGATGCCCTGGACTGTATCAAAGTGGCAGGCAGACAGTTCGAGCTCTCTTAATGGGCTATGAGTTATGGTCCTTCACGGTGGTGCATATTATCTATCTCTCTTTCACTCTCTATCCTCAACCTCCTTCCTCCCTTCATTTTTACTCTCTCTCTCTCTCTCTCTCTCTCTCTTTTTCTTTCCCCTTCTTTCCTTACCTCTCTCCATCTCTCTGTCTCTTTTTCTTTCTTTCTCCGTATCTCCCTCTTTTTCGTTCTATGCAACATCCCTTTCGTTTCACCGCTTTCCTTTATTTCTTCTATCTTCTTTTTCTTTTTCTTTTTTTTTTTTTTTTTTTGTTCTTTTTCTTCCTTCCTTTCCAACTCCGCGACTTCACGCCGTGTATTCGCTTTTACTGCCCTTCTCGTCAAAGCAAAATTTCAAGTTCTTACATTTCAGAGAGAGAAAGAGAGAGAGAGGGAGAGGAAGAGGGAGAGAGAGAGAGAGAAAGAGAGAAGGAAAGTGAGAGAGATAGAGAGAAAATGAGAGGGAAAGGATGAGAGAGTTTAAGAAGCAGAACGAATGATGGTTAATTTCTTCAGAGCAAAAGAATTTTACGGTGAATAATTCGTCTAATTCGTTCTTGTCTTCACATTGTATTTTCTTTATTAATACCAGAAAGTTGAATGAGTATATATTTGTCAATATGTACATATATCTTATAAGACTTATTATAAACATATTCCTTGATTTTGAATAATAAAATTCTTACGAATAGATACTTCATATGAGTATCTACTGATTATTCAATGCTAACTTCACAAAGGACATTCCAATCGTTTGTCAAAGGATTATTCCAAAGGTACTCGAATCGTTCGAAGGATTCTTTGGTAAAGAGCACGCTCCTCTGAGTGTCTGAGTGTCGTGAAAGGTATGTGCGAATACAATTATTAGCCAGCTCGAAGTGGCTTCACCATCGTCGTCGTAGTCGTCGTCGTCGTAGTCGTCGTCGTTGTCGTCGTTGTCGTCGTAGTCGTCGTTCTCGCGATGGTGCCACCTCATCTTTAATTCATGTCATCCGGTGGCTCGGCACGATCGATAAATTATAATTTCACTCCCCCGTATCAACTCCACCTCATCCAGCAAGGTGACGGTTATCCGTCGGCCAGGAAGACGATCACGTATTTATGCGACTTCCTCTTCTCGATGATGCACACATCGCTTCCGTTCGCAATTCTTTTATTTAACCTTTTTTTTTTTTCTTGCTTTCTTTTTCTTTTTCCATCCACGATTTCTCGCAAAAAGTTGCATTGTCTTAGACCAATCGATCAAACGTTTAAGTCGAACAAGTGTCGAGAAAAGGAAACAGAGGAGATGAGAAAATAAGAGGTTATCTTGATCTTAAAAGAAAATATTTACTTTTTCCAGGCTACGACAAGAAAGTCACGGTGGTGCTTGGTGCCCGAAGCAACAGATCACAACTGAACCACGTGAATGGTTGGAAATCGATTTACATACGGTGCATATGATCACGGGTACTGGTACTCAAGGTCGATTTGGAAATGGACAAGGCGTTGAATATTCGGAAGCGTATCTTTTGGAATATTGGAGGCCTAAACTTGGCAAATGGGTTCGCTACAGGGATGTTCGTGGCGAGGAAGTGAGTCATTTGTCAAATATTTTTCATATTACTTAATAGATCATAGTTTAAAACGATCATGTAGAAAAATTGTTTAAATTTTATATCATTTTTATTATTCATTCATTTATTAAATGAATAATTTTATTGAATATTTCAAATATATTTATCGTCAGTCTTCTTTATATCCTACTAGCATTACCATCGTTGACCCTCTGGAGACCATTCGGTAGCCATACTTCGAATAAGTGACCACAGGCTTTTATGACGAACGAATAATTCAAATCGATCGGCGAAGTTATAGTAATTTATCCGAATAGAGTCACGTTAAATGCGAGAGGGAGCACGATAGAGGTTAAATTTAGTCGAGGGCAATGTGCATAAAATGGCCGTGCGTACGTACGTGTGCGCGGATTATGGAGAATGATTTGTAGCGTTGTCCACGAGTCTAAAGGCCGACCACGGGCAGCAACTAAAGCGTGACATTAACAAGACGTAAATCTTCAATGTAATACGCTATTTTCCAGAGATGTACGCTTTTCCTTTATCTCTGTCTCTGTCTCTCTCTCTCTCTCTCTCTCTGTCTCTCTGTCTCTCGCTCTTTCTCTTACACACACACTTTCTCACTAACTCACTTACTCTTTTTCTTTTTTTTTTGTCTTTCAACATTTAACTGGAATAGATTTGTAACTGGGAATATACTAGCTCGTTAATGAAGTAGACAATGCAATATTCTGTGATTTTAAAAGTACTACTATTCAGCAATTTTAAAAGCACTATCTGACAAATAAGCTGAAAACTTCTTGAATGGTTTCATATCGTACTAGAAATAACGATTCTTTATTGTATTTTCTATAATACCAAAGGAACGATACTTCATATTGATTTGTTCGTGGGAAATTCTGCAATGTATCATGAATATATTGAAGAGATCTTATCAGCTTTTGGTTGGACAACGCTTCAATCTCGTAGAAATGTAGTGGACTCACTGAGCCGATCTTGCTCTACTCGAGCTTGTAAATGGATCCGATTGTTTCGCAATTCTCACTGCGCTTAATCTACATATTCGCTCTCTACGAATTCCCATATTTGTAGAAGGAAAATACGTCCATTACATCGATAAAATTTAATTTATACATCGATATCGAAATCAGACGAAGGATTGGAAAATTATTCGCGTTGAATTATACACATAATCGAACATTTCAAAATAATACTATTGTACACTATCACGTTATACATTATTCTTATCATACAATAAAATAACAAAGAAACTTTATTAGATTAGATTCATGCTAGTAAGAATTGTTTCTTGCGCATGCGTAAGATTCACGAGATATCTCGAAATTCGTATCGAAAGAAAAAGAGAAAGGAAGAAAAAAAAGAAAAAAAAAAAAAAAAAAGAAAAGAAAAAACGTAAAGCGTCCGATCGTTGAAGAGGTTTTCCTCGGGAGTTAGTACGAAAGAGGGGCTGCCTCGAGCTTATTTGTATAGGAGGGTGGATCAATAAAACGAGGGAAGGGAAGGTCGTCGCGTGCACACGGGTCAGACGATATTCAACTCACCTATATAGAACGTACCTGTCTGAATAGGCGAGGCCATACCGAAGTACTCTACGAATCTCACGAACTGCGAAATTCTAAAGGGATCATGGCTCTCTAGAGATGCCCTTTATACTTTGATATAGATTTCCTTGTTTCTACGACCTTTTTTTTTTTCTCATTTATTCATAAACTCGGTGAAGGTCTTTCATTCGTCGATTCAGTTAAGTCGAATTTTATTTCTTAACTCATTTCTAAACTCATATATTAATTATTTTCCAAAATAATTACTAGCTTAAGTAATGTCGAATAAATTTAATCAACATATAATTAGATATTTATTTTATTTAAACGTTATTTCATCAAATAATTATTATACATGTTCAATGATTCGAATCATTAATATTTTCAGATCCGATATTCGTATTATATTACCTATCAGATCATTTCTATGAATGAATTCTATCGTGCAACAATTAACGAGAATTCAATTATCGTATATCTATCTTTTAGAGAATAATAATTTCTTTTAAATTATATAGATGCGATTACGCTTGAATGAAAAGCAAAAATGTTTCAAAATAATTGAAAATATTTTTTTCTTAAAATAGCAATATAAGAATTATTTCTTTTTATTAGACGATAAATAGTACAATGTTTTCTTGGAGTTAGGGGCACGGTCTCTATCAAGGATCGATACGACCTGCAGGAGTCCGTAAGGTTTTCTCGAGGACAACAGTTCAAATGGATAAGAAAAGGTTGGGCCCACCCAAGTGGTTGATATGAAAGAAAAAGAAAGAGAGAGAAAGAGAAATAGAGAGAGAAAGAGAGAGAGAGAGAGAGAGAAAGAGAGAAAGAGAAAGAGAGAAAAGTGCCAGTATAAATCCGCAGAAATTTGCGTCCCCGCGGTACGTTCCCTCCCGCTGAGAGAAACATCCTTCTCAGTGTGTGTGCGTGTTTCTCGTCGCTTAATTACAGAACGACGTTCGTCCTTATCGTACGTACGATCGTCGAGCGTTCTTTCGAGGACGCTCGACCTTCGTAGAATATAACCGGTACGGCTGTCAGCGAGTCGTGTTCACGGACTATTAAAGGAAATTAAGAAAAATCTACGAGGCAAGGGTATGTACTTGTGCACATACCTATATACGCAAATACTAATATACGTGCGACAAAGGCAGAGTAGAAATACAGAAAACGACTTCATTCGTGGCGGTCCGCATGTAGGCGTTCGAGACGGCAATTCGGTAATTATTTTCTGACACGAGTAAAAAACTTTGTATGTGCGTCTTCACTCAGCGAAATACCTTCTGAAACATTAATTTAGACTAAGTACATTCATGTCGCGCGATATTGATCCGTACGACAAGTAAAAAAGAAAAAAAAAAAAAAAAAAAACATATCAAAATAAACAAGCCGTTCTCATTGAAACCCTTATGAAATATGATTTTATGTATTATATAAAAAATGAAGGGGAGGAGAGAAATAGAGATCGAGTTGAAAAAAAATAATTTTTGCCATTAAATTACAATGGAAAACTTTAGACGTAAGTATGTATTTTTCGTGTGTGTGTGTGTGTGTGTGTGTGTGTGTGTTCTTCTGACATTCTAATAAGTTTTTAAAAAATTAAATATCTTATTTTAAAATATCTAATTATTATCCTTAAAAAAAATGTTTATTTTTATTAATAGATATTTCTTTCAAAATCGATATTATATTTCTTCTCTTCCATCTGACACAACTTAGAAATACAACTGTACCTTTATATTTTTAGTTTTACATGTTTATCAATGGATGGAATCAGACGAGAATCGATAGTGGATTCTTTGAAAGAAGAAGAGTGCTTCAGAGGATGGAGATACGTTTAACTTGTTTTATTCTTTTCAAGCCATTACTTCGTACCTGTGGGATATCTCGATAAGATACCAATCGAGGAGTTTCACTTGTCCCTGTATCACTTTTCTTTTCTTTTTTTTCTTCTCTCTCATACACACACACAAACATACACACACGCACTCTCTCTCTCTCCGTTCCCTTTCTATCTCATTCTTTTTTTTTCTCCCGGAAGATAATTTCGTAAATATCAACCGCGAATTCGGAGAGGGTGGACTTGCACGAGAGAGCAAAAATACGACGGCATTTACGAGTCGTCGGGCCGTTCGCGCGGCCGCCAGGAAAAATAAATAATCTCGATATTTATCTTCCCTCCCACGCTATAAGGAGCGCGAGAGCCAGAAGAAGAGAGAAAGAAAGAGATGAAAAGAGGGAAGCCGCAAACGGATTCAGAGTAAAAGACTTTCCTCTGATATCGCTTCTTAAATTATTTCTTCCTCCCCTTTCACTCCTCACGTTTCTTGACGTTTCTTCTTCTTCTTCTTCTTCTTCTTCTTCTTCCTCCTCCTCCTCCTCCTCTTGAATCTTTTATTATTCTTTTTTTTTTCTTTCTTTTTTTTTTCTCTCCATCTCCGACAAGATTTTCGGTAGACAAATTCCAGAGAAAAAGAGAGCCGATGCGACAAAGAGGTAGGCGTGGCTCAAGACCAACGCCCATTTTATGTTAATGTTTTCCTCGCGTTTCTGCTGCATCGATGAGGACAGGTAGCTGACGGTAGCTCCTGTCGTCGACTTGTTCGGAATTTGCTACGAACCAGTCTCGTGACCACGAAACACCTTACACGAAACGAACATCGAGTTATGAAAAAAGGATCTTTATCTTTTTTTATTAACGTTAGGAATATAGATTTTTTTTTCTTTTTTTTTTTTTTTAATAATTTTTCATTCCCTTTACATTCATATTAAATTAAATGCAAGCATTATTTATAATAAGATACGAATGAACTTGTACGTGTCAAGTATCCCCTATTCATGATTTAACATTCTTAACAATTTTTCAATAATTCATATAATAAAAGTGTTCGATTGAATTGGACGAAGTCAATAAAAAAAAAAAAAAAAAAAAAAAAAAAAGGAGAAAAAAGAATAGAAATTTGAAAAAGAAAAACGATAGTGTTTTCAAATAAATGTACGAAACGTTTCAATTGGAATCTTATCGAAATGTGTTACATGTACGAGTACGAATGGCAATGTTAAAAGGAGAAAGAGAGAGAGAGAGAGAGAGAGAGAGAGAGAGAGAGAGAGAGGAAATAGTAGAAATACCGATGTCTCGCGAACGACGATAATAGGGTCGTTAACACTGGCAAAGAGAAAGAAAAGATACGAACTAAAGGGAGAAAGAGAAAAGAGAAAGAGAAAGAGAAGAATGAGATAGAAATAGACAGAAAGATGTTCTAGGAGTAGGTGGAAAGAAAGCAAAAAAGGAAAGACAAAAAAAAAAAAATAAAGAGGAGAGAAAGAGAAAACGAGAGGGAGGACACTTGTGTACGTGGTTGTATACTCCTCGTAATGTGCAGTACGCTCACGTAATTAACCATACGTGAGAAGGTTGTAGGTATTACGCGAGAGCCGAGAAGCGAGTCGACGAGTCGTCCGTAAGTGGGAAATAAGAGAGCCTTTGTTTCGAAGGGTCTTTCGCTCTTCGAGAAATTCTCGATATTCCCTCTTCGCTCTAACCCTCTCTTTCCATCACTATTTTTATCTCTCTCTCTCTCTCTGTCTTTTTTTCTTTCTTTCTTTCTCTTTATATCTATCTCTTTCTTTTTCATTCTCTATCTTTCTCTTTCTCTCTTCCTCTCTCCCCCCTCTCCCTCTCTTTCTATCTCTCCCTTTCTCATGTAGTGCGAGGGCGAGTCTTTTCGTCGTTGCTCGCGGTTGAACGGTCGAATAGAACGAGCCTTGTTTCGAAGCAGCTCGCCGCCAACTGGACAAATCTCCTCTCCTCCTCCTCCTCCTCCTCCTCCTTCATCCTCCTCCTCCTCCTCCTCCTCCTCTTCCTCCTCTGTAAGAAGACAGTGGGTGAGTCGCGAACGCTCAAAGAATATTACGAACGGGTCTTGTCTCTTCTAACGATGCGTTATCCTCAAAATGAAATAACCGACATAGCTCGGAGAACCTTTTGCAATGCCGCTCCGATCTGAGTCTCTCTTTTATATACATGAGATATGTCTCATCTTTTTGCTCTCGAATACACTGTCACAACATCGTAACTCGATCGTCCATATCATATCGAACTATAATGATTAGTAATTAGTATAGAATAGGATATACGTAATAATGTCTATGGTTAAACAATGAATTAAGTGGATAATTGAGAAAATTTTAACAAATTTTAAATATAAGTAATAATTATAAAAGATTAAGAGAAAATATTTATATTGAGAAAAAAATAATTTCAATTGAATTAAAAAAAAAGAAAAAAATATAGATTTAAGACTGTGTAACGATGAAATTTTATTTATATTTTTTTAGGTGATAAAAGGCAACACAAATACATACCTGGAGTCGAAACACGAGCTAGATCCACCAATGTGGGCGAGCAAAGTACGATTCCTACCGTATAGTTATCATCGTCGTACAGTTTGCATGAGAGTCGAGTTGTACGGTTGTCCTTGGAACGACGGTATCGTTTCATATTCGATGCCTCAAGGAGACAAGCGAAGTAACTGGGAGTTCTTTGATGCTACTTACGATGGTTACTGGGACGGTCAGCTACTACGAGGATTAGGTCAACTAACCGACGGCAAGATCGGCCCGGATAATTTCAAGATGAGCTACTACGATTACGATCGTGGTCAAGGTTGGGTCGGCTGGAGGAATGATACTCGTTCGGGTCATCCGCTTGAGATCAAATTTGAATTCGACCACGTTAGAGAGTTTTCAGCCGTTCACATTTACTGCAATAATCAGTTCACCAAGGAAGTACAAGTGAGTTTAATAAAAAACTTCATTACATGATTGAAGATTAACATAAATTTTAAGAAGATACGAAATTTTATAAAATACTTAAGTAACTTTCTCACAAAAATAGAAAATATTATAAAATTGTTATCCGTAACAACAAAGTTGTTTGTTAACATTAATTAGAACTTTAATGAATTTTATCGTTAAATTAATAATCGGATTATATATTTTCCAAAGTTATGTAATTAGTGGAAATACTATAAAGAAAAGTTAATAACAAAACATCTAATGATGTCATATGTGCAACCATGAAATATTACGAAAGTGATCGTCTATGTATTAAATTTTCCTAGTCGCGTTAATATACACGATGACTTCATCGTTCTTTCCAAGTTCTCGCATGTCTGCCCCGCTAACTTTCTTTTCGATCGATAACATCGCGCATAACATACACGCGACTCATGAACATATAGTGAATTCCTGAACGTATAGTGACGATCATTGATGTACTTTGCCTTTCTTTCTCGTATCAACTTGCTCCCTATTTCTCCCCGCCATTCTTTATACTTACCAAGAACAACGAACAGTATAACTCCACGTAGTCGTATTTTCTCCAATATTTTTTTACGAATTTTCTCTATCAAACGCAACATTTCTTTGCTCGTTCAACAATGAACACTCGCGTACATTCTCACACTGGTTACTAACTTATTAAAGATATTACTTGCGTCCGTCTTACCACCGCCGTACACAGAGAACCTATTATTTCCATGACTTTCACGAAACTTTATCGTTAGACGAAGTTACATGCTCTTCGTCGTTGCTTCGAACAATCCTCGGGAGTCTTGGAAATATCGAAAAATTCGAACGATGAAACTTTCCGGATAACAGCGGGCTCAGAAATGTCTGCAGACATAGAAGTATATAATATGCGCGTGACGAAGAGGAAATTGGAAGACCCTCGGGCGACTTTCCGTTTTCATCAAAATGGCGACCAAAGGAAAACGGACGGAGGGAGAGAAAAGAATAGAGAAAGAAAGAAAGGAAAAAAACGTGAATAGGAGAAGGAGCTTACGCGAGAATGATAGTTCAAGGAAAGGAAAAAGGTAGTGAGAAAAAAGAGAAAGAACCATAAATATAGACTCGGGTTGAAAACCCATACGAAGGAGGGAGATATCCAGCGCAAAGCTTTAATCCGTGCCCGGAAAAGACGAGGGTGGTATGTACGGCATAGAATCCAGTTTTCACGTTGGAGTCAAGGTCGAGGTTGTAGGATGGTTAACGAGGCGCAACAACGGTTAGCCTCTGGCTTTGCTAGCTGGAATGAGATAGAATGAAATAGAATGAGAGAGAAAGAGAGAGAGAGAGAGAGAGAGAGAGAGAGGCAGAAAGAGAGAGATAGGGTGAGTCGTAGTTAGGAGAAAGCTTCTTTTGCTTGTTGGCATTAACGCGTAGGGATTCTCAGCGACGGTGTTTGGCCCTTCCGCGAAAATTTTCCAGCTCACGTTGGGATCTCTCTATATAATGGGCCGCGAAACACTCTCCTACCGGTATCAAGATTTATTTGAATGGAGCGCCTCATTACCCAGCCCGGGAGCCGATTGTATAGCCGCGACCAAGCGAGCGAGAGGGAACAAGCATGATGAGTGGAAGAAGAGAGGAGGATAGCTAGTAGCTTGGGTAGGCAGTAGAAACGCTCAGCAACGTAGATTCAAGAAGGGTGGAAGAGTAGGTTCGAAGGGAGCAAGGTAACATCGCGAGAGCTTTTTCTCTCTCTCTCTCTCTCTCTCTCTCCCTCTCTCATATACACAATGGTGGCAAGCAACGATCCGGAGAGTACAGATACGCCACGTATTCGAATACAATACCGGTAGTCTGGCAAATCGGCAGTACTTAGATGTATAGGAGAGCCTAGAGGAAAGAGAGAGAGAGAGAGAGAGAGAGAGAGAGAGAAGAGTAGTTGGCAACCTTCTCAACCCATTCCACTTTTGAACAACTCCTTCTATTAACAAGCGAGTGCCCACTTGCACGGATAGGACACGTCTCCTGAAAGACACTGCACTTCAAAGCGTAGTCAGTAGTCTTCCGTCTTCGTCTTTCTTTCTTCTTCAAGTTGGTGTTTCTATCTCTCTGAGGAGAAGACGAAAATCCATGAACCTCATCTTAGACGGAGTTTGATAATCTGGGTTTTGTAATCTTCGCTTTCGTGTACCACGTACCAGTCCTAGTTCTCGTGCTATCTCTCTTCGTTTATCTGTCGGTTCCTCCTCTTCACGATCTTCTTCAACTAGTAAGAGACCCGAATTAGCATTCCGCGCGTATTCGCTTCTTCGATCCTGATGCATCAGCGTTAAGGTCGTTATCCGTTCTCTCTCCTTCTTTCTCTCACTTACTCACTCACTCACTCACTCACTCACTCACTCATTCACTCGCTCTCTCATTCATTCCCTCTCTTGCACGATGGTGATAACGATAATAGCCTTTGATTATATCCATAATCGAGTGCGCTTTAAGCGCTCGTAATAGCGTTAATAAGCGATATTTGCCGATTTAACGAGAGTTGAGATTGACTGCGTTAACGCGACGAGACTGCTAACGTCCTTGCAAGCGACGTAGGCGGATTACAAGCGAATAAGAGAACTCACCAATGTTTTGTTCTTTCTCGCTTAGGTGTTCTCCGAAGTGAGCATCATGTTCAGCGTGGGTGGCAAGTATTACACTGGCGATCCAATCGTCTATTCATATATGGAAGATAAGATTTTTGAACAATCGAGAAATATCACGATCAAACTTCATCATCGAATTGGAAAATTCGTCAAATTGAGGTTTAGCTTCGCTGCTAAATGGATAATGATCAGTGAAATCACTTTTGATTCCGGTAAGCTTTTCAAATTCTATTCTACACGTAATCTCAAAACTTTTACGATCTTTTAATCACTTTATCGTCTACCTCAAATGTTGCAGATATCGCGCATGGTAATTTTACTCCAGAAGTTCCGCCTACAACCGAAGCTCCACGAAGTCGTGATCGAAATTCTGCTCGAGACAATCCCTTGCAAGCCGAAGTTCCCGTCGCTAAGCAAGATGATCCTACATATATGGCCGTGATCATAGGAGTTTTAGCAGCAGTCATTTTGCTTTTAGCAGTTGCCATTTTTCTCATAGTGTCGCGTCATCGACAAAGAAAAAACTTTGCCAGTCCCTTAGGTGCAAAAAGTGCAATTCCTTCGAGCAACCATCAGCATTTATCACCCGAATCAGCTTATGGAACAACAGAGAAGGATCCTTCTTTGATGACGTATAGAGTAGAGGAATTAGACGATCGGTATGCTGGAACGAAATTAACGACCCTACCACGTGATCTTAATGATCGATTATTGGGAGATGTTAGATTGGACGAATATCAGGAACCCTTCCACGAGAACAAGTATCGAGAGCCTCCTCATGCTGCTTATTACGGATACAGCACCGTCGTTATAGACAACAAGGATCTTCACGACAGCGTTGAACAATCTGGTAAGTGGAAACTTTTCTTCGTCGGCAAACATACGTTCTTGACTTCAATAGAATTTTTTATATTTTATTTCAAAATATTGCGAATAATTAAAAAAAAAAAAAAAAGAAAAAAAAATGTCACTCTAACATTTGCTCACTTTTATTTTAATCCTTAAATAATTACTTATTGTATTATTTTTCTTATATTAATAATAATTCATAACTATCAAACGATTAATTTTGTCGTGTTCGTGATACACTTTTTCGAGTCACTAATGTTGATTCGTGTGGTCTATATCGTGCAGATGCCACCTACGATTACGCGGTACCAATGCCTGTGCCTAGCGTGAGCAGCGATCAAGATAGCGTATTTTCCAAGTCGTCATCCAGAGGCAGTGCGAAGGTAAGCACTCGGTCTTTCCGAATTTTAATCTCACAATAGCCGACGTTGTTTGATAAAATCGTACAGACATACTAGACAGTTCAATAAAATTTCCTTAAAAATAAGATAATTTTTAAAAATATAATATAACATGTATTAATTCATCTTAATCTTTAATTTTATTTGACAGATCCATATTTTTACTGTTCAAAATAATGATGTACACACACACATACATAGACACACACACACACACACACACATTCACTCTCTCTTTCTCTCTCTTTATTATTATTATCTGAATAATAATTTTTTTTTTCGAATGTTTACTTTTCTCGGAATATTTCGATCGTATAGATCAAGTAAGTTTCAAAACAAACAGAAGAGAGAATTCTAATGAATCATCGTTGTCCTCTTAGGCGTGTTTACAGAGCTTTTTTCCACCTCCCCCACCACCGATGAGTGCTCCACCACCACGCGGCTCGAACAATCTGACATATTCCAATCCGCCGAGTCCAGAGCCAGTGTGCGAACGCGAACGCAGAGGAAGCAAACGCAGAGAACACTCCCTTCATAGATATGCGTAAAATCGCACGACACATGTTCATCCATACATACATACATACATACATATACATAAACAATGAAGCACACGCGCGCGCATTCTTCAGGGATATACGCAAAACGTGTCGAAGGTTACAGAGGTACGTTAATTACTATACTTGATTAATTACACTACTCTTTGATCTTCGTTTAATTTCAACTTATTAAACGATATTTCTTTTTTAAATTTCAAGTATTGGTTCAAGTAATCTGTAATAAGGAAAATACAAATATGTGTATATACTATTCTACATCAGTGACCCGTTGATCATTCACACATTGTTATATCATTTTTAATCGTCATAATTATAAGTTAATTAATATTGCGTAGTTATTATAGAATGATGAATTCTTATATGAATATAATTGAAATGGAGCAAATTTAACACGTATAATAACACGACAAAAGCAATGAAGATCAAGCAATACGTTTTACTCTATCAAATGCGTCCTCGCACGATGAGTCTATGGGAAACACATGAAATCTTATGTGTTCGCATGAAAGATCTAACAAATTTCAAATTTATTTCGTTTTTCTTCGACGTGCACTGCCATTGACGCACTATAAACAATGTAATCATAGTTAAGCGTTAATATTCGAGAATATAGTATGTGTGTAAATATATATATATATATATATATATATATATATATATATATGTATATACATACTATACAAGTAGTTAGATAAAACGGGCGTAATTCTCACGGTTGTATTACACGAAATTAGCATATCAGATTTTAATAATGATAATCGCGATAATTACCGATCCTTAACTCTTCTGGAAATTCAACGTCGCGACACGTTTCCTTTATAAATGGATTTTGGGGAGAAAAAAAAAAAAAAAAAAGAAAAAAAATCCAATGATTTGTGTAAGAAAAAGAAAGAAAAAGAAAGAAAAAGAGAAAGAGAGTAAGATAATAATAGATGTGCTCGTATTATCGACGGATCGAACGAGGAACAGCCAATCAAGATCGAACGTAATTCATTCGAACTACTCGAATACTTAAGACATATCTTTTATAGAATGATAATACATACTCGTATTATAGTATTGGTCTGCTTCGATTTTTTATAGGATTACGTCGTTTCTCGTTACTCGTAAAGATCTCTCTCACTCTCTCTATCTTTCTCTTTTTCTCTCTCTCTCTCTCTCTCTCTCTCTCTATCTATCTATCTATCTATCTATCTATCTATCTATCTCTCTTGCTCACTGCCATTGTATTCCGGATGTCACACGATCATTTTTATTATCGTACAATCCTTACTTTTGTTCCTAATCCTCTTTCTCCTTTATCTTAATATTAAGATGATCGGAATACGCTTGATCTTTAACTTCGAACGCTTTAAACGCGTCGTTAAGAGATACGCGAGAAAGGACATAGAACATTTGTATATATTTTACGTATCTACTTTGTAAGAAGGAAAATAATAATAAAAGAAAAACAAAGGAGAAAGAATGTTAACGCGTAATAAAACTAATCGAGATAACTGACGGATTTCCAGAACGAGTAAAGCTAATGATTCGCTCTATTCGGCACGCATGTGCAACAAGATCGAGCTCACTATCGATTCGAGTCCGACCGAAAGATATACACACGCATATATATATATATACATATATATACTATATTCATATATATTCATATATGTATAATATGTGTATATATATGTGTCTACAATTACACAAAGAAAAGAGAGAAAGAGAGGTAAAAAAAAGTAATGTCGAGCTTGATTAATCGAATATTTATTCGAAAGAACGTCGGCACGAGCGAAGGATAATTAATCGCTCGGTTTAGAGCGCTTTTACGAGCGTTGTGGACCAGATCGATCCATCGAAAAAGCGTCGGGACAATATAGCGAGCTTTGATCTCGAATCTTAGCTAAGACTGACGTTTGGATAAAAATAATGAATATGTATATTATATTAAAATAATGAACTTTATCCGATCCTCTTCCCGATACAAAGGGCTGAGACGCTTGCGCGCGCGCTTCCTTTATCGTGTTATATACAGGATGTCCTATATAAAACGGAACAGTTAAATATTAACATAGACAAGCATTACAGGACTAAGTTGTACTGTTTGAAATATAATAATAATAATGGACATTTTACGTGACACCCTGTATATACATACATACATACATATATATATATATATATATATATATATATATATATATATGTATTATAGATATTATGCTGTATATTCTTTTGCAAAATCCTATAAATGTATGTAGTGATATTTCCCCAATTTTGCAATTCCCTGAAAGACCCTCTTTATTTATATACATATGTATGCCCATGAGAAGTGAAAATATGAATATAAGTATGTGTGTTTATATATATATATATATATATATATATATATAAAGATTGAATGAATGATTGCATATTATCCAAAACGAACTCTAAACGTACATAGTACATATATGCATTATATACATATATTAAAGACCCAAGATTATTTCTCTATCTGTACCAAAACGCCTTCAAGCAACGAGATTAAACAAAATAAAATATACAGACGTAAGGAATAGACAATACAGGATGAGACAACAATAATAATTGCGTGTGTATTAAGTAACTAAGAAAGATGATAAGAAAGGTTTAAGGAATGAAAAAAGAACAGGAAAAGAGAATTCGAGTACAGGAAGAAAAGAACGTTAACGCGACTATATTGTGATATAGAAAAAAAAGAAAAAAAGAAAAAAAAGAGGAAAAAAAATAAAAGAAAAAAGAAAGAGCTTGCGGCTCTCGCGAATAGCACTCTCCCTCTCTCTTTCTAACACTCTTTTTCTCTATCTCTATTTCTTCGTTTAGCGCGCGCGCGTGTATGTGCTTTAACACGTCTCGTCGGAAAGAAGTTTCCTTTTTTTATTTCTCGATTTTTTTTTTTTTGTGGTCCAAAGGTGTGGAGGGAAGGAAGAAAAAGGAAAAGAAATAGAAAAAAAGGAAGAAACAAAAGTGCACACGAAAGGATTTTAGCGATGTATAATTAAATTGTTTCCATTAATACCTAGCCAAGATTCTTTTAATGAATTTGAAACCATCGTGAGAATCATGCTCGAGAAATAATATAATTTTTATAGATCACAAGAAAACTATATGTTCCTTGGACGCGTATGTCCATTATTTTTTTATTTTTAAATTTCTTTTCTTCTCTTTTATTTCCTTTTTTTATTTTTATTCTTTTTTTTCTTTTATTTTGGAGGGGAAGGCACAGAGACGCGTATATATATATATAAGGTATATAAATATATATATATATATATATATATAATGTTTTACAACGATCAAAATCTTAGCAATGTATATCTCTAGTATATAATAATCGTTGACATCGTCGCCTCATAGGATATATCGGATGAAGGAAAAGTTATTAGGAAAATAAAAAAAATGGTGAATAATGATAAGAGTGCTTCAAAGTGCTTCGACGGAATGTAAATATTAATTGTTAGGGGACCGCGTAAATGTAATACATAGATATATACATATATGTATATATATTTCACATACATACATACAGACAGACAGACAGACAGACAGACAAACAGACAGACAAACAAACAAACAAAAAACATATACAGATCTTCTCAAGCGCCTTAAGTTCATAGGAGGCACGAGCAAATAAATAATTTCAATCGCAATAACGTCGTGTATCTTTGTTAGAAAACGAAGTGCATCATTTTTCGTGATTCGATACGGCGAGGAATCGAAAGGATCAATTTCACTAGAACTATTCGTTCCAGGACTATTCCTCCTGCACTTCCAATAAACCTGTCGATTCCTCTCCGACGACAATCATCGATTTATATTTAAGAACGAGCTATAAGACGCGAAGATGTTACGTAAGACTTATCTCGTTATTATACTTTCCTTTTTTTTTTTTATCCAAAAATTTTTCCATGTATCATATACCATAACACTGAAATTAGTTGTATCCTTTGGAAAAGAGAAACAAAAAAAGAAAAAAACAAGAAAAGAAAAAAAAAAAGAAAAGAAAAAGAGACAACTAATTTCTTTCAGACAAATCTGTCGCATTAGTTGTTTATATGATATATCGGAAAAAACAAAAAAAAACAAAAAAAATGAAAATGTTAAAGGTCTAACCAGAATGATAAAGTGTTATCGAATGTTAATGTGAAAGGGAAAATATGTGAGTGAGGGCATGATAGAAAGCAATGAAAAAGGAGAGGGAAGAAAGAAACAACGAAAAATATAACTAATAATTGTACGTCGAGAATTCGTGATCTAAGCTCTCGAAATAAAGAAAGGCATTTTGCTCGAGTTTTGCCATATCTGTTCGCGAGTATGCACTTCGTGCATGCTACCCTTAAAATGGAACGCAGAAAAAGAGAGAGAAAGAGAGAGAGAGAGAGAGAGTATGTGTGTGATTGGGAGGGAAAAGGAGAGGTTAGAGGAAGGGTTAAACATCGCGTCGACCTCAGCGACGCGACGTGTCTACGACAATGCGATATATCGTAGCGATACGGCACGCTCCTGACGGATGGAATATAACGAGAGCCACTGTACTGAGGGCGAGCTTACGTGAAAAATATAAAAAGAATGACAAAAAGAAAAAGAATACAAAAAAAAAGAACAAGAAGAAAAAGAAGAAGAAGAAGAAGAAGAAGAAGAGAGAACGAGCCGGTCGTATCGAGGCAGTCACGATGTCTGCCATGCTCGAAACTCTTTGCATGCGATCTTCTAGTGGCCCTCGCTTCGAAGAACACCCGTCTGCATTTTTTAAGTCCTTCGGCCGTACCACTTTCACCATTTACTCCCCTTCCTCCCTTCTTCCCTCTCTAACCCTCTCCCACCCTTTCGCACTCACTCGAATACCTCTCGAGAGATTCAGTCGGGGAGATTAACTTTTTTTTCGTTAACGCTCGCTCGGTGTTGAACTCGTTCCATTGTTTCCGAAATTCGTGTTAAATTTTTGTCATTCATAATATTAAATTCGTAAGAATTTTTTATTACTATATTATCATTATTATAATAGAATAATCGTGAAAATGATATGATACGTCGTCTCTCTCTCTTTTTCTCTCTCTCTCTCTCTCTTTCTATCTTTCTCTCTCTCTCTCTCTTTCTCTCTCTTTCTTTTTTTCTTTCTTTCTCTCTCTTTTTCTCTTCGTGTATATAACGTTGTAATTTATACATAATATGTATGTAAACGTGAAAGATTGCTGATATGTTCGCCTAAAGTAAATGCGAACAGTGACCATTTGTACATAAATTGTATATTAATAATAATAATAACAACACAACAACAACAACAATAATAATAATAATAATAATAATAATAATAATAATAATAAAAATAATAATAATTATTATAATTATAATAATAATTATATCGTAAAGGACGAGAGGTACCACTATGAATGTAATTATATTGGTCGACTAGTATATAATAACAAGTACCGGAAGCATATTTGATATCTGTGTGCCTGTATTCTTTTGTATGCTACCGAGATAGACACTACTATATATATATATATATATATATATATATATATATATATATATATATATATTATATTATATTATTGGGATGTAGGAGATTGCGAGTGTGAGGTCTAATGTATCACAAGTACACACGAATATACGTATACATACACAGGATACATATACATAAAGACATGCAACACAGAACGTACACATGTTATACATATACAGACATAAGACTATCTCTGTCCGAATGGACGAAAATAAAACTTTTAGCGAAGTGAACAATTTGATCTCCCCCTTTTTTTTTTCTTTCTTTTTCTTTTTTATTTCAACCCATAGAATAAGCTAAATCGTTCTTCCCATTCCCATTTGTCATCAGAATGGAGAGGAAAGAAAAATATATAAGAAAGATATTCAAGATCGCTAAGATGCTGTCCAATTACAAGGCTCAATCATCAGGTAGGTTATTTTTATCAAACGATCCTGATATCTTTTTTTTTCCCCCTATTTAATTCAAAGTCCCTAATTAGTAACGACATCGTTTATTATTTGATTAATGCAACGACCGGTTTTATTTATTTTATAAAACGACTTTTAAAAAGACTTCCAGTTTCTCAATTATCGTGAGTCATACTGCTCAGACTTTTTTCATTGAGGACATTGAAATACCAAGAATACTTGGAATTGTTTAACTCAACTAAGAAGAATTATTAATCTACCGGTAGTCCCAATGGGAACCCCCGACGTAGACTATGCGGCCTCTTTTAGCATGGACTTTTCACGAGTGGTACCAACGTAAGCTAGCTTTCGCGATGGCTGTCGTCCTTTCATCGTACTAATTTGGCGCCGTCAACGATGTCATTTGTCATTCTAATAGCCAGAACGACGAGCGCGTTTTTAATGACTCGAGGGTTGAGACCGTCATAGCCTTTACCCCCACTAACCAGTGTACCCTCGTTCATCTCTTTTTCTCAGTTTCCCTCTATACCTTTCTTTCTCTCTGTCTCTCTCTCTCTCTCCCTCTTTCTCTCTTTCTCTCTTTCTCTCTTTCTCATTCACTCACTGGCTCCTTTTTGCGCGAGTTCCTCTTTTAATTTGTCCTCGACACGGTGCTTTACGTTCTATCGTCCGTTTCCCCCTTTTTTTTCCTTACTGAGAAGGCCGGTTCACCATTTTCTTTTCAAGAAGGCTAATGCAAAGGCAGCGGGAGAACCACCCCAACCATTCGAACGTTTTCTTCTCTAAAATGTTTCCCCACCCCACCCATCGATTCGGACTTCCATTAGACAGGCACGATCCATTAGGCCCGCCAATCTTGGCTCTATCGAAATTACTCAAAGTTTGACATACCGGGACAGTCCTATTGTGTTCCCATCTTCTATGCCACGAGTTACTTTCTCTATACCACTTTAAGTTTCCACGTAAAACTATGGATCGACGTCTGGCAACTGCTTTTGCAGTTTTAAATTAAAATTCGATTTATAACTCTTGACTTTTTTTCTTTGTTAAAGATCTTAATTATTACGAGAATTTTATCATATGTAATTAGCGTAAAATAAATAAATATTAATATTAAAATTTTTTACGATCAATCGATTAGTTATCAAAATGTTGAAGGATTTAAGTTTGATCCTTCGATTTGATATATCGTTACTTTCAATTATATCGGCTTTACACGACATCGATCTTAATTAACGATACGTCCAAATCATTTATTTAACATAAGAAAGAAAAGGCACTGCTAAGATCATTTCTAATTAATAATCAGTTGATCAGTTAGCCCTGTGGTCAAGATCATGAGTATGTCAAATGAAAGAGAAAGGTATCGCGTTAGGTCTAACGAATTGTCCTAGTTTTCATTTTCCACCCTCTTAGGGAACGACACGCGAAAGGTGTGGGCTAGCTAATGCGCTTCCTGCGAGAACCTTTAACCTGTGCCATTATTGTTTCCCATCCATCACGGTCGGTCTGCCGTGTGAGCGCTGTTGCCACGGGAAATATATCTCACCCTCTGAAAATGTTGCCGCATCACATCCGAAATTACGGTCGAATCCCAACGTTGTGAGGATGGTTGTGAGGTGGTGTGTTAGTTGGGGTGCGGAGGCTTGCTTTGTACAACGTCGCTCTGAAGTTCCGCTTTTGGTCCGTGCTATGGTAGTTATCGTCCGCCCTAATTCGGCCCACGATTAGCTGTCTGCCCTAGCTTCTCTTTCTCTCTCTCTCTCTCTCTCTCTCTCTCTCTTTCTCTCTCTTTCTCTCTCTCTTTCTCTCTCTTTCTCTCTATCTCTAACTTTGTTTCTCTCTTTTTCTTTCTCTTTCTCACTGATCTCTGTCCCTCGCCAAATTTCCAGCTCGATAGGAATTTGATTTAAGGATGGATATTACGGTGAGTACATTTTATGAACGATTCGATTTATCTCACCTTTCGTTGTCCATTGTTCTATAGGACATAAGCGATGTCCGGTCATTTTTGTAGTACGTGAGGAAGAATGAGAGAATTGAGAATAACTATATAATAAAATGTCTCTTTAATAATAGTACTTTTTTTTATAGTACTTTATATGTAGTTGATACGATATTGATAATGCTTATGATATTATATTATCAAAAATCTTTTTATAATATTTGAAAATAATATAATTTCTGGACAGAGATATAAGTTGATAAGGTTATTCATGAAGAAACAATAAAAAAAAAAAAAAAAAAAAAAAGAAAGAAAAAACACAAAGAATATTTTTTAACGATCGTAATCGTTAAAACAGTCCTGCAAGAAAGTAACATAAATGTAACATGAAAATAACAAAGCTCGTTAGAAATATATCCATTTCTAATGTCGACGAAGCCGACGTCGAAATTCCAAGAACCAGTTGTCAAGTCAGGAGTATAATGATCGCGTATTCGCGTGATATCGCGTTATGCTTGTCTACATAAAGGTAAATCAGTGTGTGAAAGCTATATATATATATATATATATATATATAGAAAGAGAGAGAGAGAGAGAGAGAGATGATTTGAAAGAAAGCCAATGCCACATCTTTTTTTTATAGAAGCGTCGTTTATCGCGATAACGTGATTCGTATATTAAACTCAAGAAAATGCGTCAAATTAAAATATTCGTTAGTTAAAAGAATAATCGTGTTTCACATTCCTTGATTTTTTTTTTCTTTTCCTTTTTCTTTTTCTTTTTTTTTTTTTTAATCATAAATTATAATAAAAGTAGAAAATATAGTTGGTCGATTAATCCCTTGGATTTTTTTATTTATCGTTTTTGAACATTCAATCGAACGACGACATCGTTAAGCAAATGTTGTACGTCAAAAAGTAAAAGCCGCGTAAGCGAATGCTTTTACATATATAGCTACTATGCTACGGTTCACGTGAAATGAATGCAGGGCTTCATATTTTATTCGTTTAAAACAGATAGAATCGTCATAAATCCGAGAGTCTGGCGACATCGAGTATATCGACGATAAAATCTCTCTATTCATATATTTCCAAATCATATTTATTTTAATCTTCTCGTTGCCGATATAGTTTTAACGAAGTATTAATACCTCGTTCTCAAATGACATCTACGCAATTCATGTACTTTATTTCTAATGAAACCCCGTAATCCAAACGAACTGATTTTATATTCAAATTAATATAGTATTATTTTTTA